GCTGCACGAGAAACCATAGCAGACACTGAGAGAACGTGCAAACTCCACACAGAAAGGACTCTGGTCACCTGGCTGGGGAATCGAACCCAGACCCCTCTTACTGTGAGGCAACAGTGCTACCCACTACCCATATATTGCATTATTCATATTACATCATATTACAATTACATCAATAGACAGAATCAAAAACAAACATTAAATTAGTAATACAGAGACAGACAACATAAGTACATTAGTGGGCAGTATGTGGAAAAACTTATATCACAGTATAATTAAGATTACTGACAGTTTCAGCATATATCAAGGTATAGTGTATTTATGTAAACCTTTTTCCAACAAAACCATTTTGGGTGCTTGAGTAAACCTTTTTCATAGATTATCAATAGCATATTACTCTGGATGTCTCTTCACTTTTAATAAGAATCATATTTATCAAAGGAAGTAAATCTAAAATGTTTTTATTGAGTGAAATAGTAAAAACAGAAGTTGACAAAATATAGACAGATGTTAATGTTGCTTTCTAACCCTAAAGAGATAAAGGCAAGTGCACAGCTTTTATTAATTTTAAGTCATTTGTTGTGTATGTGTTTCTCTTACACTCGAGCTTTAATCTATGAGCGTCAGATGCTGCTGGAATTAGTAAATATTACAAGCCACTTAAACTATCAGTTTTAGCTAAGAAGCTGCGAAGCGTCTCAACTTGTAGGCTGAGACTGCAGTGTTGCCTGAAGCAGCTGGCTGAGTGATGAACACTGCAGAAGCCGGCTAGCCTCCATGCAAGGCTAATGGCTAACGACTAACCCCAAGAGACTGGCTTTCCCTTCCACTCACTTTCCCCCGTTATCTTATTAACTTATTACAATCTGATCTGCTCCTTTGACCATAAACTGGATTAACTTTCCTCAGGCAGCAACTCTACTAATATCTTAAGAAGAATTTCATCCAGCATACTGGATGAGCCGGTATACTGCTGACTACTACACTGAGAAAACCTGGATGGAGGAGTAATTTAGGTTTGGATAAGCTTGTGTTTTAAGATTGGATTGGAAGAGAATCAGACTGTGGGACTGCGGAGGGAGAGAGATCCAGAGACAAGGAGCAAATCTAAAGAATGCTCGATGGCCGAAGCTACGGAGGTTTGATGAAGGAATGGTGAGGAGCCCAGCAAAGGAGGACCTCGGTTTGGGAGTGAGTTTGTAGGGAAGAAGATCAGACAGATATGAAGCGGTGAGGTTGTTAAGAGCTTTGTGTGTGATTAGCAGCATTTTGAAATGTATATGGTACTTTATGAGAAGCCAGTGGAGATTTTGGAGGACAGTTGTGATGTAATGATGTGACCGGGTGTCAGTGAGAAGACAGGCAGCTGTTCTGGAGCTTGTGAAGAAAAGAAGAGCCAATGCTGTGAGAAGAGAGAGGTAATAGTCCAGGCAGCTGGAGATGAAGGCATGAATAAGAGTTTCAGCAGCAGATTGAAAGAGGCAAAGTCTAATTTTGGTGATGTTGCAGGTGGAAAAAAAACTAAAATGAGGACGCAGTTACATTGCCAATGAGAAGATTAAGAGAACCAGAAATGAAAAGTAAATTTACCTTCCAGAAATCTGATTATTGTTCTGGTTACATTTGCAGCACTGTCTGATATCATTTTAAGGGTTGGCAGTTTTATGAAAAACAGATTTAATGCAGTGGTGCTCAAATGATTTATCTTGGTGTGCAGTGTTTGTACCGGGCCGAGGGCCAAAGAGACAAAATGAGAATGTAAAAGGAAGAGAAGAATTTGATAAGTTATACATAATGTAAGATATGTTTATTCTCTCATTGGGTAAGAGGGAGGGGGTGGGGCTAGGGTAACTTTCTGGCAGGTCACACTTTGGGCAGCCTTGGTCTAACTTTTTAATTGGCTTTGCTAATGTAAGGTGATCTATTACTGGTCAAATATCATGATGCAAAAATCTCTAGTGATATTTCATTTTGTCCCATGGATGTTCTCACAAATCCTGCCTCCTGTACTAAGATTGGCTACTAATGTCTGATCTCCTGTACTAGGATTGGCCAGTAGTTTTCTGCCTCCTGTGCTGGAAGTGGCTTGTAGTTCAAATTTATGAGCTGAATCAGGTGTGTTTAATGAAGCTGAAGTCTGCAGTATTTTGGCCTGTGAGGACTGGAGCCTGACACACATGTTCTGCTGGGAATTGGCCTAATGGTTAACATTAGAGACGCCTAATTTCCTGTAGGGCACCTTGAGATCTCATTAGCAAACCATCTGGAATTAGAGCACCAGTTAAACCATTAAGAGTCCTTTACACTGTGATATAAACACATCAAGAAAACTCAAAATTACTATTACTGATACTGAACACTTGTTTCATTGTTTAGTTTTGGACGGACACAAAAAGTTTAAATTCTTGAAACATCCAGAGAAAAAATGGCCAATCAAGATTTTTTCTCTGAGGTAATTAGGTAGATTTGGCTAAGCAAGCTCTCCTATTAGTTAGGACATCAAGAGCTGAACAGAAGTCCTTGCATCAACATTAGATCAACCATCAGCATAATGTAGTGACAGGGATCACCAATCACGTCTTGTTTTCCAGTAGGTGGGACCCATTTTGTGAGAAAAAGGTCACTCTAGGACTTCTGGAAGTTCTAGATACATCACTGACTGTGAATGCTAGTGACAACCCAGTCAATGGGCTGTTCCAAATGGAAAACAGAATATCAGAATACCAGAGCTCCCCACTCAAAGAGTCACTGTGAAAGTGAGGTAAAATATGCTAATATTTCTATCACAAACTTTAAGTTAACATCTTTGGAACGTCTTTTAGAAGCTTCAGATGTGTGTGGTTAAGTTGAGTCGGCCAAAAAGTGTTTGAATCATTGTTAACTTAGCACTAGCAAACTACTAGAATCCTCACTGGGGGTGAGTTTGTCCTCATGTTTTGACCGAGTTTTGACATGTAGGCCCTGGATCTAACATGGTTCTCCACTGCATTTATGTATTAATCTATATAAGATCGACACCAGGGCTATTCAGGGCTGTCCAGGCAGTCACGTCCTCGTGCATTGACCGCATTGAATTCAGCATGCAGTATATCATAAAGAGAGCTCTGGCTGTGTACTGGAATATTGGTCCAGAGCGGTAAATCATCAAGGTTTCTTGAGCGTACTGGAGGAATGTTGGTCACATAATGCATACAACTTTTTCGGGGGGAATGATCAGTATATGTGCAGTACGTGCATGCGCAAAAAAATGGTGGGGCAGCAGCTGACCCCTCAATGAAACTACACAGGAACCTGATCCAAACACAAACGCACTCCATCAATGAAATCACAAATTCACACATGAACCTAACAGTGCAGGAGTTGGTGGAAGCGGAGACAGGAATATGAGTGATACGATAACGACATTAGATCTCACCAAACCTGGTTATACAGCATCGCATTACAAATCCAAAGTTATCAGGCAGTATATGATCATTATGGCCTGCAACTACAGGGAGATTCATTCGAAAGAGGCCCCGAATATTCTGTTGTAACTCCCGTTAGGATGAAGCAGTCTGAACCAAAAAAATACACTGCATACCTTGACGCGCTGCTCAATACTGTACTCCACCATCCTGATGAGAAGTCGAGTGACTGAGTGAAGGGGTACGGGGGTATGCACCCGGAAGTTGCATACGGAGGTTAAACGTCGCGTCGGCTGTGCATTGCCTACCTCATCGCTATGAAGCATGGGCATCCCAGCTTGTTCGAAGCTCCATATACTGAGGAGCATATTGCATGTTGTTTTCGTTCAGATTGCTTTGTCCTAGCGAGAGCTATTACAGAATATTCGGGGCCTCTTTAGAGTGAATCTCCCTGTACATATCCAAAGCAACATTTCAGAGCAGGGAAACACGCTTTCCAGGCATTAGGAATAACATGTCTTGTAATAATACAAAACGACTCACCAGTAACGTTCACTGCTCGAAAAGAAAAGACGAACGACAATCGTTCATCTGGGCAAACTATGTGATAGCATAGCAAGGGCAGGCAAGGAAAGCAGGAGAGTGTTTTAGCTAGACTCACAGTTAGCCATGTTTTTCTCTTGAACCTCTTCGGATTGAAGGAGCAGTTTTTGTCCAGACTGAATGATGTTGAAATCCTCTGGCTGCTGTGGTCCCAAATGTTTAATCTCTAATTTCTGCTCTAATGGTTGGTACCAAATTTAACTTTTATGACTTTTCTACTTGACTCATTATATTGCCTTGCTATTATGAGCGGCTACCACAACTGATGAGGAACAGTGGTAGACGAGCGCTGACGGACCCCACGCTCACCAAACGAAGACTGCTAGAAGAAATAGGTAGCCTACTGGCATTTACACAACAGGTACAGGACGATATTTGGAATGTATCAGACAATGCTACTGTTATCATATGTAATAAATGTAATAAACAATGTTAGTCATTAAGAAAAAAAAAACAGGTATATGCATTAGTCGTTATACTGAATTACTGATCGTGTTGTGCACCGCTCCACAGCGACATCTAGTGGGGCCAAGCTAATGTAGAGACGCCCCTGATTAGAGACCCTAGTTTCCTGTAGCACACCTCATCTAACACTCTGAATTCAGTTCATGGAGGCCTTGCTAATTAGCTGATGAGCTGAATCAGGTGTGGCCCGCAAGGACTGGAGCCTGAACACATGTTCTAATGGGAATTGGCTTAATGCTTACTACTAGAGACCACTAGTTTCCTGTAGAACACTTTAGATCCTATTAGGAAACCATCAGAATTAGTCCCAGAGCACATGTTAAACCATTAGAGCCCTTTACATGTTGATATCAACACATCAGCAAAACACAAAATGCCTTTAGTGGCTATCAGACGCCACCAGGAACCAACAGCCACTTTCAATGGTGGGATTATTTTCAGCAGGGCAGGAGGGCGGGGCTTGCGGACAAATGGGCGGGGACAAAACAATAACGCATTTCTAGACTGTTAGGTTCATGTTGAGTGTGAGTGAGTGTGTGAGTGAGGAAGGGAGGGAGTTAGAGCGCGCGGGGCTCTGCAAGCTCCTCTCGCGCTCTGCCAAACAGCTGCAGAAGCGCGCGAGACGGGACGCTCTGTTTTCTGTCATTTTAAGTCGCTTTAAAGCTGCGCGTCTCTTTGGTCTTTTTTGCAAGCGCGCGCTTTGCGTTGTTTCTGCTACTTAAAGTCGGTTTGCGCTGCGGTGCAGGTGTTGCTCTCCCTGCTGGAGCTCTTCAGCTGCTGGACTGAAGATGTCCAGGTAGATGCAAAAGCCACTTTTCAGCGGACTTTGAGCGTCAATAATCGTGCTGTGGACACTGCGCGCTTGTCTGCGGTCACTTTTGGATGTGTATTTGAAACGGACTCGCTGTTGCACCCAGCTCTGACCGCAGTGTGGTGATGAATGTGTTGCAGTGGACGCTGATGGGGTGAGTGAGCGAGCGGAGGACGGTGCTCTGCTTCAGCCTGCTCTCGGTAAGTTTCAGCAGTTCGTACTTTGTACAAAAGAAGACTCCTAGGGGACTTTGGTCCAGAGATAGAGGCGTGGAGAGTGGACAGAGGACGTTTTAAATAGACGTTTAAGGCATTGTTGGGGAATTCCACCAAATGTATAACATTTCTGATAATTTAAAGGGCACCAATCTTTTAAAATTTCTGAACATGTAAAGAGAAATTTCAACAATTTTATAACATTTCTGATAATGTAAAGGGGATTTCTATCAATTTCATACAATCTCTGAAGATGTAAAGGGGAATTCCACCAATTTTTCAAAATTTCTGAACATGTAAAAGGGATTTCTATCAATTTCATACAATCTCTGAAGATGTAAAGGGGAATTCCACCAATTTTTCAAAATTTCTGAACATGTAAAAGGGACTTCTATCAATTTTATACAATTTCTGAAGATGTAAAGGGGAATTCCACCAATTTCATAAAATGTTTGATAATGTAAAGGGGAATTTCACCAATGTTTCAAATTTTCTAATAATGTAAAGGTGATTTCCACCAATTTTTAAAATTTCTGAAGATGTAAAGGGGAAATCCACCAACTGTATAAAATTTCTGATAATGTAAGGGAGAATTCCTCCAATTTTCTCAAAATTTCTGAACATGAAAAGGGAATCTGAAAGTAATACGTTGGACTATTTTGCCTCACAACACCCTAAATGTAATCCAGATTAAAATACATGTTAAATCTAAACTTTATCACAAAACAATCTCTCAGACATCAGGCTGTGTATTCATAAAAATTCCATGTAATAACTTTCTGTGAGGGAGCCTTTAGAGGTGGACGTCTGGTTCCTATCACCACCACTGTGAACAATTCTGGTTCTGTACGTTTCTCTAGAACAGAGCATTTCACACCAAACCACTCTGAATGACTCTGTTTACATCTTTATATTTATTCACTAGAATTTTTGGATTTGAATGAATTTTAGAATTTCCCCTTTAAGAGTTTATAAATGGTGCATAAATGTAATTTGTAATCTTATCTTGAAAAGTGGCTCAACTTGTACTTTTGTACCCAGTAATTTTAGTGCATTAACACCGACAATGTTGAATGGAGACCTATACATTTAAAAAAAGATGGTTCTTCAAGGGTTCTTTAGTAAAGAAAGTGGTTCTATCTAGAACCATGAACACTCAAAAGAACCTGTGCATGATTAAGTTGTTCTTTGCATGGTGAAAAGGTTCTTCAGATTGATGGAGAGTGAGCTGTGGATGGTTCTACATAGAACCTTTTTGAAAAGGGTTTCATATAGCACCAAAAAGAGTTCTTCTAATGCGACAAGCTTGACATCATAACAATAGCAGAACCCTTTTTGGTGCTGTATAGGACGCTTTTCAGGAAGGTTCTATATAGAACCACATACAGCTCATTCTCTATCAATCTGAAGAACCCCTTTACAATGCAAAGAACCCTTTAATCATGCAAAGTGCTCATGGTTTTTTAATGAAAAACCCTTGAAGAACCATCTTTTTAAGAGTGTTCAGTGTTTAACCCAGAGTGAGATAAGACTTACAACAGTGTTACATAGTGATTAATAGAGTCTTACAGTGTGGCACAGCATTGAACTATCACTGTATGTATTAATTTAATGTTATGATCATATTTATAGACTGTTTTCTTGGATGTGGATCAAAGCTACTCACTGCCAGCGCACTGAGACCTGGATTAAGCATAAACCAGGACTAAAACTCCTGTGATGCACTGCATTTTAGTTCAAGACTTGGTGTAATCCATGTCTGGGAAACCAGCCCTAAAATCCTTGTTAGTCTAGGCTTAGGCTTAATCCTGGTCTGGGCAAACAGGCCATATACCATGTTGACACCAGCAGTGCTTAATACATGTTTCTGTTGTTGATGGAACACCTACAGGATTCATTTTAGTCCAGCTGAACTTACATAAATATGGTAGGTGGTAATGCAGTACTACACTCTTAAAATGGTTCTGCAAGGATTCTTTAGTAAAGGGAATGGTTCTGTATAGAACCCTGAGTTCCATACAAAACCATCCGCATGCTTAAGTGATACTTTGCATGGTGAAATGGTTCTTCAGATTGATGGAGAATGGGCTGTTCTATAATGTAGCACCAAAAGGGTTACAATGCTCTTAAAAAGATGGTTCTTCAAGGGTTCTTTAGTAAAGAAAACGGTTCTATTAAGAACTTTGAACACTCAAAGAACGCTTTTCATGATTAAATGGTTCTTTACGTGGTTAAATTGTTCTTCACATTAATGGAGACTGTGCTGTAGATGGTTTATATAGAACCTTTCCAAAAAAGGTTCTATACAGCACCCAAAGGGTTCTGCTATTGTAACGTTGTCAAGCTTGTCATAGTAGAAGAACTCTTTTTGGTGCCATATAGAACCCAAAAAAGGCTTACAACACTCTAAAAAAGATGGTTTCTCAAAGGTTCTTTAGTAAAGAAAATCGTTCTGTAACAAACCATGAACACTCAAAGAACCCTTTGCCTGATTAAAGGGTGCAAGGATTCTTTGCATGGTGAAATGGTTCTTTAGATTAATGGAGAGTGTGCTGTGGATGGTTCTACATAGAACCTTTTTGAGAAGATTTGACACCCAAAGGGTTCTGCTATGATACGATGTCAAGCTTGTCACAATAGCAGAACTCTTTTTGGTGCTATATATGACCATTTTCAAAAATGTTTTTCATAGAACCATCAATCTGAAGAACTATTCCACCATGCAAAGAACCATTTAATCATGCAAAGTGTTCTTTGAGTGTGTATATATATATATATATATATATATATATATATATATATATATATATATACTCTAGAGAGAGATAGGGTTCTATACAGCACCCAAAAGGGTTCTTCTATTGTTACAACCTTGATGTCATAACAATAGTAGAACCCTTTTGCATGCTGTATATAACCCTTTTCAAAAAGGTTCTGTATAGAACCATCTACAGCACATTCTTAAGAACCATTTACTTATGTAAAGAGTTCTTCGAGTGTTCATGGTTCATTACAGAACCATTTTCTTTACAAAAGAACCTGTGAAGAACCTTTTTTTTAAGTGTTTTAACCCTTTTTGGTACTATGTAGAACCATTCATTCAAAATGATTCTGTACAGATCCATACACAACACAGTCTCCATCAATCTGAAGAACCATTCAAGCATGCAAATGGTCTATATAGAACTCATGGTTCTAAATAGAACCTTAGCCTTTACTAAAGAACCCTTGAAAAACATCTTTTTAAGTGTATATGGTAAAAGAAAACTCAGGCCTGTTGAGCAAAGAGAGCTTGTAAGAAATGATTGATGACTTTGAGGCTAAATGGCACCACCATTGTGCAATCACCCCTATAACCAATCAGAGTGTAGTTTGTAATCTTGAGCATATAGTCAAAAAGGTTCTATATAATATTATGGTTTTATATGAGGTTCTATATAATTGTATGACTATATGATTAATGCTATGCCCATATTATGCAGCCCATGCTTAATTAGCGCCTCTACATGTCCATTCAGATCTGAAGTTTGGGTTGAGCGATCTGGTGCTACAGTATTCAGTTTTTGAGGTTTCCTACAGGTGATAAAAGAACCTGCAGTACAATATTTTAATAGTTCAATCAAGTACCAGGTTTCACACGCTCTACTGCACCAAATCAGATTAAACACAACTAGTTTAAATAATTCATTAGATAAAAAAAAGCACTCGTTCGGTGTTCTTTAGGTGCGTAAAGTGACGTATCATGATAACGATCAACATTGTCATTAATATTCACTCCCCATAGACAGTGTTAATGCAGCAGTGTATGTTTTAATGAAGCTCTGTAGGTGTCGGCAAAACTTAATTAATTAAAACAATATTCACTTTACATGTTAATGTAATGTTTAGATATGCATGAGTGACTCAAACTAACATGAGACGATCAGCGAAAAACGCATGAAGCAGCAGCAGCAGGAGATGCTCACACGCACACACACACAGACACACACACACACACACGCACAGACACACACAAACACACACGCACAGACACACAAACACACACACACACACGCACAGACACACACAAACACACGCACACGCACAGACACACACAAACACACGCACACGCACAGACACACACAAACACACACAAACTCACACAGACACACACAAACACACACAAACTCACACAGACACACACAAACACACACAAACTCACACAGACACACACAAACACACACGCACAGACACACACAAACACACGCACACGCACACACACACACAAACACACACACAAACACACACAGACACACACACACAAACACACGCACACGCACAGACACACACAAACACACACGCACAGACACACACACACACGCACACACACAAACACACACACACAAACACACACAAACTCACACAGACACACACACACACAAACACACGCACACACACACACAAACTCACACAGACACACACACACACACACACACACACACACACACATGAGCATCAGTATGCTTTACACGGGACAAACATGGTTAATCAACACTGACACACCACTGAGTTTCCAGTTCATTCTCACTGGATTTCACTCATACGTACAGTCCCTCTCTCGCTTCACCGCTTTACCGCTCTCTGTCTCTCTCTTCTACTTCTGCTGCTGTTCTCTCTCTCTCTCTCTCTCTCTCTCACTCTCTGTGTCCATGATTTCTCTCTCTTTATGTCTCTCTCTGTCTCTTTCTCTTTCTCTCTCTTTATGTCTCCCTCTCTCTCTCTTTGTATCTCTCTTTCCTGTTTCTGTATCTCTCTCTCATATTTCTCTGTTTTTTCTCTTTCTCTGTTTCACTCACTCTTTCTGAGGAGATTTCTCACTACTTCTTTTTCTGTTTTTTTTTATCTCTCTTTTGTATGTTTTTTTTTATTACTGTCTTTCATTAGGTCTCTCTCTTTCCCCCCCTCTCTCTCCCTGTCTTTCTCTTTTTATATGTGTCTCTCTTTGT